AAACGGTGGGCCTGCAGATCGAATTATTGGGAAAAATTGGACTCTTACTGATCGTTCGGTCCGCGACGTCAATGAAACATCCAACTACGTCGCCCACTTGGTATCTGTGACCAAATGACTCGTGGATACCGGCGTGTACTTTAGTCACCTGACATTCACGATTGGTATCAATTATATTTGTCACTTGTGCAGCTTACGAATACGGCGTTCAGAATTGCAATTGCAAAATGGACAAAACATCTATCTTACCGTGAACACTGTCGAAGCTATTGCAATGGATAACGATTCGTCGTGCGAAACTCGTACGTGAACTATGGAAACTCGTTCTCTCTTTTTTCTCGTTTACACGAACTCAGTGTCTTTGGTAATATACGTTGCTCGTAGTTCAGAATTATTTGCATTTGATAAATGGATGTCGGGTGGAGGGATACTCACGTTGTAGCCGTCGAAAGCCCAAGTGTTCTCGTCGCTTCCCAGCATGTTTCCAGGACTGCAGTCAGCTTTCGCCCAACCGACTCGCATGGGACCGGCTGTCAGCACCTCGAACTCGAAGTACCATTTCCCGCCGCTCACCGCGTAGTGTTTTTCCACGCGATACGTTCTGAAGTATAGTTGTCGCAGCCTGCTGGCTTCCAACAGCAGCGCTACGCAGAACAAACAAGCGGAAACGAACAATCATTCGCACTTGCAAATCTTGATTTATCGCAATATTTTATCGTATATTTCACCTTCGTGCTGTTCGCCGGTGGGCGGTTCCAGCATGTATCCATAAACCAAAAGCGTCCTCACGGTCTCGCTAGCGGTGTCGCGGTTCGCCTTCTTGATCGCTTCGTCGACTTTCGGATAGGGTACCAAATGGGGGCTTCTCCTCATCTCGGAGTCCTCGTTCAGACCATAGGTCCAACCCTGACTGATTCGTTCCTTCGCCCAGAGGTTGTGCGTGTTCTCTGCCAGTTGATCCACCAGCTCTTCCATCTTCGGAGTGAGCGTGATGGCGCTGAGGTCGAGAGGGGCTGGCTTGTACCCGCTACTTTGCAAGAACGGCTCGTTCGGAAGCCTCAGAGTTTTTATTCTGGAGGGTGGTTTGTCCATCGTGATGTAATAGCCCAAGGCTAGGATGGTTTTCAGCGTCTGCACTGCTAGCTGTGTGTCGTAACGCTTCTCCGCTGCTGGCAATCGCTCGAACTGAACGATACACGGATGAATCTTCCTCATGTCGTCCCTGTGCTCTCCGTATATCCAACCAGCCTCGATCTTGTTCATCGCCCACATCTCGTGGATGTTCTCGGCCAATTTATCTCTGATCTGCTCGACGTAAGACGGTAAATTGATCATGGACGTGTCGACTGGACTTGGAACGAACGCCGTGTCGTCCTCGACCAACCACGGGCCAGCCAGCACCACTTTGTTCATGTTCCCAAAGTAGAAGCACGGATCCAGAGACAGAATCTGCTGTGGTAGCAAACTTTCTATCAGAGGTGAGAACTCTTCGGGCGGTTGGAACTTGAGTCGGCCGTGGTCACCGCCCAATAGGAATCGACAGGACAGCTTGGACGAGCAGCTGATCGCCGGGAAGAACATGCCATCGAGGTTGAAGTTTCGGAAGGATCCCATGATGGGCGCTCCGTTGAACGTGAACGTGATTATGGGCACGGTGAGATCCAGTGCGCATCCGATCACGTCGCTCTTTCGTATGTACGGTTCCGTGGCTTCGTGGACGACCTGAGTCTTCCTACCACCGGTCCATAGGTACGCGCCGTCGAAACCAAATGAATAGAGGTCGTCGCCAACACCGTTCCCTCCCCATTTCTCACCGCCACCGGGGTACGGCATGTATCTTCGCGGAAAGAGATGAGCAAAGGTCAAAGCATCGAACTGAAGAGTTCTCCATTGAGACTGTAT